CCATATTCTTCAAAAGATTTTCAGACCTCCGACAGTGCTTGCATCTATAGTACTTGGATATCGATCGCCAGCCGACGTTAGATAGGGTCCGCTGACGATCGATAACGTGCACGATGAGTGCTGCTGCATCAAAAAAATAGCAAAACGTAAAAAAAGTGCTCTGCCTCATTCTTTCGCGCATTCTAGTGAACCAGAGCCTCCATATTGCTTGGTTAGCAGCTTTCGATGGGCGCAACTTTGTTTGCATAACGTTTTTTGTTCCTTTTATAATTTGATTCCAATAGTCAGTATTTATAGTTTCAATTTTACACGGCATAGTTAATCCATGAGTTAACACGGTAAGGCTTAACGTTTCCAAGCAGTTTTCCATCTTTTTGAAAGCATGAAAAGGCGTTAAATGCAGCATGAATTGGGACACGAATTGGCACAGCATGAATCGACATGGGACATGGATCGACGTCCGAGGGCGACACCGGGTTGGCGCTGTGGATGTTACCAACTCTGTGGAGGCTGCACACAGGGTGTCGGTGATGGGTGCATTTCGTAGGCAACCCAACCTTTAACTAGGCTGTCGCAAGTTGCCGCTGTAGAGCCTCGGTTTTGTCCATTTTAAAAGCTTTCATTGAAGATCAATGTAAACCAATAATAAACAGGCAAATACTACGCGAGAAGTAAGGAACCGGAAAAATTACATTGTTACGCTAACGTTCTTGGGACGAGAAGGACAAAATTGATCGGTCTCTTTCTCAGAAGCGCCCACGCGTTCCTTTTACACTTTACTGCAGAGAAATCACTTCCGCTGTTTTTATGGTAGGTCAGAATTGATTAGGATTTACGCATACGACGTGACTGAGTCGGTTTCCTAATATCAGCAGTGAGTTATATTACCGAGAAGAGCAGTAATAGGCTAATCGAAAGTTATTTCTCTCAAGCAGCCAGAAAAGAAACACAAAAACAAAAGCACGGCGCACTACCATCAACTCTGCTCAACACATAGAAAGGCCAAAATCGTAGTAAAAACAAAGACTGAGAGGTGGAAATCGATGCAGAGCCCACATGCAAAGGAGGGTAAAGCACGTACCAAAACAAACTGAAAGCTTTCCAGCGATGAAAGCGCGGGCGATAGTGAAGGCCATCGCAGCGGCACGGAGAATCGATCGGTGAGCCCTTCAAGCAACCATTTACAGAAGAGAATCTTCTCGAAAAACTTCACAGAATGAAGTTGAAGTGTGAGTGTAAGGATATCTAGCAAAAATAGAGCAGCAAGGTCAGGTTTGGAAATGTATTTTTAAGGAAAGATGTAGAAACCGGAAATTCTTCAAAAAAGTGTCAGAGTATATCCTTACACGAGGAAAACTGATTTCCCATCCCGATCGCATTCACCAAGCAACCGTAGGGGTAGCCATGCTGGATCGTAATTTGAATGGAAAATGTTGTAACATCATCGCTGCTTGAAGCAAATAACTCAAAAACATATTTTATCGAGAGTAAACTTCGTAACTCTCGAAAATTCTTTGCAAAATTCTAATGCAGTTAAACCACAACTAATAAGTGGGATTATAACATAAGAGTAATATGAGATTCCAGGTATAAGTCTTAAGACAGCTTTGAAGTAAGTTGTCAAGTAGTTTTGGAGCACAAAATCAAAACCCCAGACGAGTGAACGTAGTCCAAGTCAATGATTCAAATTAGTCCGGAAGAGCGACGTTGTACGACTGGTCGTCAAAGGATTGTAAAAAATTTTAAAAGTTCTACTACTTCGAGTACAACTGTTTCTCCTCGTGTTCTAAGAACCGCTCAACATAGTAGCTGACTAGGCAGATTCCGATAGTTTTCCGCGCAGAAAATTATGAGCTGTGAGAAAAGAAAATTTTTGAAAGAGGACGTAATTCCCAAAGAACTGACACAGAGCTTTTTGAAGAACTTGGAATAGATGTGGCCTGATCATTCCTATTGAAACTATAATAGCATTAATTATGGCAAATATGTAAAGTTGGTAAGGGGCAAACCCTACAGCTCCCTACAGCCATTCCACACACACACCCGCCCTACAAACGCGGATTGGTCAGGATCACGCGATTTTCGCGCTGTATTTCATTCCTCAAATTGTTTGGCTTACTGATCACTTATGCGGTTCATGACTGTTTCCCGGAAGTCACCTACATCATCACACCCCATCTTCTTCCTCTTCTCCCCGAACGGCGTGTCGCGCTCGCCGCACTCGATCGCGCGCTATGAAGGGAAAGAATTGAATTCCCAGTGGAAGGACAGTCGCCGCGGAACCACTGCCGCTGGCAGTTGGGATTCGGGGAGAAATTCTGCCACCCCGTCACATTGACCGGTATGAGGCTGCGACTGTAAACAAGGTAGAATCACATCCAGTTTCTGAACGACTTCGTCCCTCCCTTTCCCTGCCAGAGGTTTAGCGATAAGGCGTTAAAGCCTTAATGACATATCCACAGGACTGTTGTCAACAGAACTGCCAGCAACGGATTACACGAATTTAGCTAGAAGTGTTGAAAGGAGAGTGAAAGAATAAAAAGCGAAGAGATGTTTGCAGATGAAAGTTTGGCATCTCAAGTACTTTCGAAATATCGTTCTAGTACAGGTGTGGTTCTTGTTACCATTTCATATTGCCAAGGGAGTGGATCGAAATGTTTTCCAAGTATTTTACTGAATAACCATGTCCCACACGTCCCACCAAATTTTGGCACGCTTAAAAATACGAGTTGCCGCACCAACCTCTATTTTGACGGTACTTCCAGGAGATATTCTTGTCAGATAATCACGTTTACTAGTAGCGGTGCAGTGATGTAGTATGGCGGGCTTTGCTTCTCCGTTCTGACACGTCTCCCGGCGTCTAGAATACTACCCTTTGACTCCATGGCATCAATTCGGTCAGATGACTCACTTGAAAGGTTTTGCAGGTATTCATCGGCGGAACGATAATGAGAAGCTTACACCATAGACGGCCACATAGGAAGTTGCACTACAGTTTTTTGGATGAAAATGTCATTGAGGAGAGGGGAACCGCCCTTCTTCAACATTTAGCGCTAGGGCGCAGAGAAAAAGGTTGGCCGATTCGCGAGCCTTGATGGTACTTAAAAACCTTTTTTAACCCTTTGACGAATGACACCCTCGGTGGTTCCACTATGACTGGTGCATGGGACAAAGAAAAAAAAACCCAACACTTTTGCAAGATTGGTGCATGTCTTGATACCCCTTATAATCAACAGTTCACAATTCACGACGGTTATTTAGGAAGAGCTGGTAGCAATTGTTTGGATGCAAACAGCTCTCAACAGATCTCGTGCATATTCCTCATGCCTAGGTACGGTTTTTAGCCAAAGGAATACAGTTTCCACGTGAGGCTTAAGAGCGAAGAAGCGCCGGAGTGAGCTGGTGACTACTTCGTACAAAAAGCTGGAATTAGTGAGAACTGCTCTTTCGATTGACTTACCCGACCTGGTGCTTCTTCCTTCCTAAGAGCTGAGTAAAAAACTATACTCTGCTCAGAATTCCTTAGCACCACTATGGGCTAGCGAAACCGGTTACCTCTTACTCCCTGCCCTCTAACGTAGTACAAAAGACAAGTGTGCCCCACCCCTCAACTACATATTCATCCCGTAAGCTGACTTACCCCTCACCTAATAGGCTGCCTAACAATAAACAAATGGAAAATTCCAATCGGGAACCCAACTCGCACAGAAAGCTATTTTACAGCGTCAATCCTGTTCCCAACTATGTTATATTATAGCGGCAATCTCTACCTTCCTAATCGCCTTTGCTGCTTTATTTATTTCGGGAGCAGAGGTGATGTAGTAGCAAGTGACGCACTATCACACACGCATGGTCACGAGTTCGTATCCCGGATTGATATTCGCCTGGACCAACCAAGCCTTTCATCCCTCCGCAGTAGGTTAATTGGTACCAGACTCGTCTGGAACGATAAAAGCACTGAGTTGAACATCGGCTGACCACAGCAAATCATTGCATAAGCCACATACGCATTCGTTAGGATTCTGAATGAAAGTCGAATGCGGGGGAGCATCCGTAAGACGTGATTGATTAGCGTCGAAAGGTTTTATCCTTTTCATCCTTTATTCCATTCCGGATTGATTTGACTGTTCCATACGATAGGTAATAACGCAATTTCAGCATAGGTCCAATGGTTGGAAAAATATCTGAAAACTGCCAGAAGAATCTCAAGAGTTCCCAGTCAATGAAAGATCATACATATATCAGTGGTGAGTCTTATCTAAAGAAAGATACCACTCGGGAAATGTTGACTAGGTGGCAACACTGTTATAATAGATAAATCTTCCGCTCATACTATTGCGTGGATCAACATTCTTATCGAATGATACTTCCTTTGCACCACCGTAAGCTATGCTGTTCAATCAATTGGCATTCCGAAGAGAAGTTATAAGGGGCATGATTACGTCAAAACGGGGAGGTGCCACTATCATAGCTCAACCCAGCAGCATTGGAAGCCAACCTAGGAATCTCCAAACCTCAACAAATTGTACATATGCCCAGTACTCTGAAAAATGTAACCTCAGTGGATGGGAAATGTTTTCAACGTTTCGCAAACCAAAGGCGCAAAAGAGTGTTATCGAAGGAGCCGTACTTGTACGACCTACCTCCACAGAACCATTTCTGAATAAGCTGGGTACACGTTGTGTCATGGGTTGTAAAAACTAAGTGAATACTTACTGAGTCCTCATGCTGTCCTTTATTGGTCGGATTTTCTGACGTGAACGACACTTCGCAAAACGTGTTGCAATTTTCTTTTCCATTAAACTTTTCAACAAGACGATGTTGAGCGATTCCGAATCACCTAGTATTCGTCCAACTAAATATTTACCCACTTCAATAATGAATACAATGCAAAGAACATCTCAGGGAGAAGATTTTCAGCAAGATTTTAATATTTATTTTAGTGAGGTAGATGAATATGAGTTCACCATGAGGTATCGATAAAACTTTGCATAAAAAATCTACGAATTCTTCTGAGGAACTTTGATAGTCACAGTCTTGACTTCCGTATAGGCCTCCAGACCGTATTCGCCGAGTTCACGTCCGATTCCTGGAAAGGAAATTACTGCTTAAATGCCCACCACCTGAATGAAGTGCTGAAGACAGGTAAGATAATGACAATTACGGCCAACGACAAGCTTGTAATGAGCTCGTTGGTGTAAGCTGACATCTTACAGACGTCTGCAACATTCTCGGCAATTCGCCAGAGGCCAGCTAGATACGCATGCGACACGCAATGGCCGCTTTCATAGTCCGCCGCGGACCCGCGAGCGCGCGCGATCAAGATTCAGTTTATAAACAAGTGGCAAGCGGACAGTGAAAACAGCCAATGAGATACATTGCAGACTGATGCGCTACTGTTACTGTTACTATTCTTCCACCTACTCTGTTCTACAGCCATGACACCTTCCATGGAGGCTGTCATAATAATACATAAGAAATAGTCACCTGATTGCTTGTATCCACCAAACGGCGCAGCTGCATCAAAAACGTCGAAACAGTTAACCCTGAAATCATTTCTATCAATAAGTTAAGAGAGAGAAAACCATGAAAACGGTGTATTCCAAGGTAATTTTGGGTGACAATCTCAAACTCTTTTACGAATGCAAGAGTTTTGACTTCCTCCGCCACCTACCAGACTGATCCAGCTCTGATATTATTCGCAACATGGAGCGCCTTGTCGAGATCCTTTGTCATTACAGCAGCGGCCAGGCCATAGATTGTATTGTTGGCAATGTCTACAAGATGCTCCATCGAGTCGAAGCGTATGATGCTCATTACTGGTCCGAAAATCTGTAAAAGCGCGTTGACAGATAGTATTCTATTGAGAGCAGAGATGTTAGCATTCACGTGTGTTGCACACATATCTATCATAAAGTGACAAAGAACGAATTGATAAGAATCCGAAATACTTTCGAATACGATCACCCCAGTACTTACATGTGGGTCTAGCTTCGAACTACACTCGGATTTGCAGTAGCCTTTGAAAGGCAACTCGGCTCAAACAGCGACTGGTGGAGGCCAAATAAACAGCTTACAAAATGAGATGTTCATGTGGCAAAACTGTCTAAAATGATAATCAGTACCCGGTACTCAGTCACCACATCTCCTGATAGTCCAGCAATTTGGTTGCCCGGCTCTGGAACCACTTTTTTGAATTTTCTTCTTCCAGAAGAACTCCGTGGTAGTCGAATGAACGGTTTAGGCTACATTAAGCTATTTAAGCTTAAATCAGTTCTCCCAAGTTTTATGCTTTCACATAGCTCCGAAGACCATACGGACTCCAGCTTCTCCCCACTTGTACGCTCGACAGAAAAAAAAGAATTTTCGACGGCGCTAAAGCGGGAGTACAAGCCGAAAACAGCGGAAGTCTTCAATGGAGGTCTCTCGAGGCGTCCGTGCTCATCCGGCGTTGCCTGTGAAGGTGCCATTGTGTCGAAAGAGAACGTCTTGATGATTCAATCGTATTCGTTTAATAATTGACCCTGCGCAGGCGGAAAGTATAGTGCACATATCTTGCTTGCTCCCAGCAGTTCGTGACGAAGTACACCTTCTCAGCTCCATCATGCAGCTGGCATTGCATTTTGGGCATACAGCTCTTGCTTTACTTGCAATGTCATATATTCGGTGAGAATGAACCAGTTTCCTCTATTTTTTTTTTCTTTGGATATATTTGTCTCCAACACCGATCGCATGATAAAACTTATGTTTGTTTCTCTTATACAAGCCGAAATTGGATCAGGGCTTATTATCAGATCGAAAGCGAGAGCAAAGAACACAGTGAAATGAACCAGAAATTAAGTTTCCAAAATGGTATATGAAACAATGCTAAAACCCAGAACTGAGATGACAAGCACTCGTTCGCAAAGAACCACCTTGGCTAATTGATGAAGAAGTCAAACCAAATTTGAAAAAGAAAACGGCTCACCATGTTAAACATGCTATCAATTAAATATAAGGAAGAAAAGTCGAATTAAAATTTCGATCATTAGTGATTGTTTTTCATCACTAGAAAATATGATTCGAGATCGATTTCGCCCTCACCAATTCGTCCAACTAAACTTTTCGCTATGATGAAATGTTAAAACGTGAAGCTTCTGGTAAAACCTACACTTGAATAAAAGCACCAGTCATTATATAACCCAGCAGCTCAAAAATAACCAATCTTATGTAATTTCCATATCATGTCAACAGAAAATAGCCATTCTCCAAAAACAACCTCTTCTTGCGCGATCGTCATTTCGTCCTTAACATTAGCAAATATGGTCGGCTTGAAAAAGAATCCTTCGTCTCCCCACTTAGTTCCTCCTAGAAAAAAGTACAGATCTGTCAAAGGCTAAACATGGGTTGAACTCGGCTTACTTTATAAACAAGCCGAAATGAATACCTGCTATGAAGTCAATGCTCAGAGATAAAGGCACACTTACCAGTGACCAGTTGAGCACCCTCTTTTTTGCCTATATCCACATAGCGCTGGATTGTTTTCAATTGCTCTCCATCGATCTGGATATAACGAAACATCAATGAAACGGAACTATCGTAAAAGGCGCAAGCATTCTAGAAATATCTTGACAGAGCGCCCATACTTGAGGCCCTTGTTCCGTTTTCAAGTCAAATGGGTTTCCAAGCTTTTTCTTTTCAGCAAGTTCCTTTGAGCGCGCAACGAACTCATCGTAAATCTGAAAATGGTAACTAAGAACGACAAGGCAGAAACAGGCAAAAAATCTAGAAAACATACCTTCCCCTCTACGAAAACTCGAGATCCCGCGCAGCAGCACTGACCTTGGTTGAAAAATAAACCGTGGTGAGCCTGATGAACACATTCGTTAACTGAAAAACTGGAAATCATCGCGTTATATTAGAATGAATTTAATTACGAAAGTCGCCTAGGTAGTATATCTAAGGGTTAACAAGTGCATGCTTCACAGACAAGCCCGAAGCACGGTAGAAGGTATGCTCAATAGAAAAGTTCACTTTTTCAAACACTCACGATCAGCATCAGCAAATATGATATTGGGACTTTTGCCACCAAGTTCGAGACTGATTCTGAAAGCACACAAGGAAGACTTTGCCAACAGAAAGGAATCGAATAAGGACGAGTGAAACATACTTTTTGATATTACTGTGCGCTGCTTCCTGCATTACTAGTCGACCTACTGGCGTTGATCCAGTGAACGCTACTTTCTCCACATCCAGATGACTGGCTATTGCACGCCCAGCGGTTGGCCCGAAGCCTGGCAACAGATTCACTACACCAGCGGGAAATCCTGCCTAACACAGAAATTTTCATTCTACTGTCGATAAAAATCCATAGTACTTTTGAAAATACCTCTTTCACAAGACTGGCAACATGAAGAGCTGTAAGTGGGGTTTGTTCAGCAGGCTTCATAACTACTGTATTGCCCATCGCCAGTGCTGGACCAAATTTCCACGCTTGCATTAGAAGAGGGAAGTTCCACTTCAGAGTACAAGTATTAATGGAAGGCGAATGGTTAGAGACAAATAGAGCAGATTCTGCATGAATTCTGCATGTTTATTCAATTATTTTCACTCTTACTGGATTATCGTTACGAACAAAAACTGTTCAGATTCAGATAAAATAAGACGAAAATCTAAACGCTCACAGTTTCATCCAATTAAGAGCATAGAAACCCCACACGCTGTCTCCAAAATCTAGAGCTAATTACGATAAATACAGTCTTGCTTCACAAAAAACACTTCAGCTCTGGTGCAGTAGTCAACAGCTCACAAGTTTAATTATCCTGATGTTCCTTTGGTAGAGAACCCACAGCAATGCTTTAGTTTTGAACCAAGCTGCCGCCCTAATAAATTACATTCATTTTTATTGCAAAAGAGGCAATCTCGACCGTTTTTAACTATCATAATATCATCTATGGCTGTTTCGATCATTGTTTAGTCTCCTTTCGTGGTTATTTCCGGAGGTTGTTTCGTAAAAACGCACTTGATACCTCAAGGTCTAAAGTTATACATCAGATCCCGCCTAAGCGAAAGGGCATTGTGGAGCTGGATGAACGGGAACCCATCAATACTGTGAGGATGCTTGCGCAACGAACTGCGTACGGGTTGAAATGAGAAAGGCAATCAAAACGAATATTTCCTTTTAATGCTTGATCAGAACATAATTTCGAATAAACGCACAGGGATTATTTGACCGCACACTCCAACTGGTTCATGCCGTGTGTAGGTGAAATAGTCACCAGCAATTGGAATAGTCTTCCCATGGTTTTTATCCGCATAGCCAGCGTAGTACCTGAATGAAAATTATCTGAAATCTATTCATATTATCAGACTGGTGGCTACTTTTTATATATAAAAGTACCAGTCGAGTCGCTCGGTCATTCAGCTTACACGGGGAGGGGGGGGGGGGGG